CGCCCGTTTAAAACCGTTTCATGTCTTCCCCTTGCTTCAGAATGAAGAGTGCAATCCCTCACTTGACTCACAGGTGAATCTGGGAGCGGGTCCCCTCCCCTCCACCTCCCCTGTGCTGTCCTCTCTCCCTTCAGCCACCAGACCACCTTGAGTGCCTAAAGCAACAAGATCCCTCCTCGCCTACCTTAGCACATACTGTTCCTTCTGACTGTGCACTTCCGCCCACTGCCCTTCTCCTGTGCCTGGCCCACACCTGCTCCTATTCTGAGCTCCCCTGAATCATTTCTGCCTCAGAGAAAACCTCTCCCACCCCTGCGGGCTGTGACCAGGTCAGCTACCACCATTATCCCCCCTGGAGACCTGTGTTCCTTCCTTCATGCGTTTTCATTCACTTGTCACTGTTCATAGATCAGTGTGATGAATTGATTACTCACCTCTCCCCTGACACACTCCATGTTTCAGGGAGATAAGGACCACATTAGATTTTTGCCTTAGCTCCGTGATGAGTACATAGTTGGCACTCAAATCCATATTTTAAATTTTTTCATTATACACATTTCGAACTGAAGAAAAAAAAAGTAGAGAATCGTGAAATGAACCCCATATGCCCATTACCTAGATAGGTAGTCATGGTAATCATTATTAACATTTTAGCATATTTATCATTTTTACTGGCATATTTTCAAGTGATTTAGAGTTTTCACAACTGTTTGCTCCTAAATACTTCAGGAAGTTTTCTTACTACAATATCATCATCACACCTTACAAAATTAACAAGAACTCCTTAAAATCATCTAAGAACCAGCCCATATTCAAATTTCCCAAATGGTGCCCCCCAAAATGCTTCTTTCGCACTTGGTTTGTTTCCACCAGGATCTAGATAAGACCTGCGTGTTGCATTTGGTCATATCTCTTAAGCCTCATTTAAATCTAGAGTAGCGCTTCTTCCCTATGCACTGAGTTGTTGAATTGCTAAATAAAGTATTTTAAGTAAATTACACACACCATGTCCCACCTTCTAGATTTGTCTGGTTGCCTTCTGGTTGTGTTGTGTACCCTCTGCTTCCTGTCAACTGGAAATTAGATCTCCAGGCTTGATTACATTCAGGCTTCCTCCCGCGCCTGAGCGCCACTGCCAGCTCCACTCGGATGCTGATTGGCTGATTGGCGGGCTCCACTGATGACCGCTGATTCCTTGGCTGAGAAGTTTCTTCTTTAGGACCAGCAAGTAATCTGTGAGCCAATACTTTGAAATGACTATGTTTTATTTGTTTTTTACTGTTTTGTTAAGGAGTGTTTTATTGATTTTTAGAGAGGATGGGAGAGTAAGAGAGAGAAACATCAATGTGAGAGAGAAACATCAGTCCGCTGCTTCCCCCCACAACCCCCACTGGGGGATCAGGCCTGCAGCCCTGGCATGCGCCCTGACCTGAATCTAACCAGCAACCCTTCCGTGCACAGGACAACGCCACACCTGCCAGGGCAAACTATGTTTTTAGTCAGTAAATGGAGGAGGTCAGTGTAGCTGAGCAGTGATGAGGGCAGTGGGCGAGAACCAGAGCGAAAGGGTCATAGGCCTTGATAAGAAATTTGGACTTTATCCTGTAGGACGGGCAATTACAAACCACTCTTAAGCAAAGGAAGTCATGTGATCACACTTGGCCAGGGGAAAGGGTGAGGAAGCATGAAGCGAACAAGGAAGGAGCATTTCCGGAACGCTCAGCCCGAGCCCAGCTCTCTGCTAGGTGTTTGGCACACTCAGTCTAAGTGAAATGTTCAATGTGTTTTAAAGAAAAACCCTATTTTACTGATGAGGAAAATGGAGGCTTAGACTCCGTCACTCACCCGGGGTCGCAGCAAAGGATGGTGACGACCTCAGGAAAGCAGTGACCACAAGTGTGGACAGGTATTCGAGGCGGAATCAGCAGCATTTGTAAGCAACTGGCCAGGGGGAGGCGGGGAACGGAGGCCCGGCTGATGCTGACTCACGGGTGGGATGCAGGAAGAGACAAGCAGGTTGGAGGGGAAGATAATGAGCTGAGGCTCCCAGCTGCCCAGATGCCTCCAAGCCGCTCTGCTAAGAAATGATGCTGGTAACATGACAATGTCTATAAATTGGCTTCCGGCATGACTCGATAATTAGCTTAAGTTACCCCTCATTGGCATTTCCTTCAAAGCAAGGACACTCTTCCATTCATCCTGATGAGGCCTGTTTTCTGTGTTTCAGGGTGGGTGTGAACCTGGAGCTGCGTGATCTGTCACTTGGCTCGAGGGGGCCTGAGACTGAAGCCATAGGGTGGGTGGGCTGTCTGTTCTCTCAGCGAAGAGTCTGTCTGTCTCTGGGGTGTGGGCTCCCCTTCAGATAGAGAGCTGCCTGAGGGTGGATTCTGGAACCCGCCCAGTCAATGCCCAGCATACAGAGTGTGGTCCAGAGATCAGTTCAGGAGCCACACGGAGGATAGAGTGACAAGGAAGATGGTCAGTTGGGTGGCAGCTTTCAAGGTCAGCTGCAAGGATGCTTAGGGCTGAAAGGACTGTGTTTAGAGAAATCAGAGAAACTTAAGAGTGTTGACATGGTAGATTTTTTTTTAAAAATATGTTTTTATTGATTTCAGAGAGGAAGGGAAAGGGAGAGAGAAAAAAAAAACATCAACGATGAGAGAGTCATTGATCAGCCGCCTCCTGCATGCCTCCTACTGGGGATCGAGCCCACAACCCGGGCATGCGCCCTGACCTGGAATCAAACCATGACCTCCTGGTTCATAGTTTAACACTCAACCACTGAGCCACACCTGCCAGGCGACAGGTAGATTTTATAAAACTTGGCAGCTGATCCAGAGGAACGAGGAGATAACGAGCTGAGAAGGACCCTCAAGTTTGATCTCAGAAGAGAGTGAAGTGAGATGGGACCTGCAAGAGGAAGGTGGGTCCAGGGATAGGGAGATGCTGAGTACAGGGTGGGTCTCCATGACCAGATCTAAGTAGGCGTGGTCTGAGAAGACCTGGGAAGGGAGGTCTAGGACTAGAGAGCAGTCAGGGCTACGTCATGGGCACACAAGTCAAGGTAGGAACTGCAGGCGCGGATAAGCTTTTCCTGGGAAAGGTATGTGGGTCCAGGTGGGATGGGCAGGGGAACAGGACCCCAGCAAAGGCGGCTGAGGAATGTGAGGTGAGACATGCAGGCAGGTCATGGGGATCAAATGCCAGGGAGAGACTAAGTAGGACAATGACCAAAAAGCTACTGGCCTTAGCGATTCTGAATGAACCAGTCAGGGGCCTAGGAAACGGGCTCTGACTTATTAGCAAAGAGAGAGAGAGAGAGAGAGAGAGAGAGAGAGAGAGAGAGAGAGAGAAGGGGGGGGGGGGGCCACATGGAGGTGGAGCCAAAGAAGCAAAAAGCAGGGCTGTCTCTCAGCAGGGCCTGGCACAGGGCACCACACCACTGGCACGACTAACAAAGCCTCCAGAGGGATCCCACCTCCCTCTGCTCTGGTTACTTGCCCCGCAGAGCAGAGCATGAAGGCATCAGATTGGCAGGGCTGAGGTCACATGCCCACATCTCGGAGGCTCAGAATTCCTTCTTTCCGTAAATATTGATTGAGCACCTCCTCTGTGCCCGGCACAGGTCTAGGCCCTTGAAAACAGCAACAAAATCCACAAAGATCCTTGTCTTCGTGGCCCTGACATTCGAGGGGAGAGATTGACAATAAACAACAGACATAAACTGTGAGTGCTGTAGAAGGCTAAGAACAAAGAGAAAGCATAAAGAAGGTTGGAAAAGTGCACGTAAGGAGTGAGCAGGAAGGGCACAGGGTGCAATGCTACCTGGCGTGGTCCAGGAGAGCCTATTGGAGCAGGCAGGAGTGTGCCCGGGGTGCCCAGGAAACAGCACAACAGCAGGGAGCCGGTGGTGCGGCTGCAGCACCCGAGCGAGGGGGAGAGCTAGGGCAGCGGACTGGATTGGACCTCGTAGGCCCCTGTAAGGACTTGGGCTTCCCACTGAGGACAGTGGGAACTCTGGGAGGACTTGGACGCCAGGGGTGACCTGACCGTCCTACAGTTTAATAGGATCCCATGCACACAGAGGTCACTGGTTTGATTCCCAGACTCCGTGCTCGGGTTGTGGGCTCGATCCCCAGCAGGGGGCAGCCGATGGATGATTCTCTCTCATCATTGATGTTTCTAGCTCTCTCTCCCTCTCCTCTTTGAAATCAATACTTTTTTATTTTAAATAAATAATAATGCTATCAAGTAGAGAACGTCTTATACACACATTCATCCGTCCCCATCCTTCCCTTCTTCCCTTCTCTCTGAGGGAAGCAAAATGGCCCCCGCTGGTCCCCCCAAGCCCTTGTGCTGGAGACTGTCCCCAAAAACGGGCCAGGCCTCACGGCCCTCGTATCCCCCACGGCCGTCCCGTCTCCCTCTAGCTTACAACCCGGCCCCGAGGAAGGTTGTCAAAACCCACATTGTCTTCCTCTCCTCCAGCCAACATGCACATCGCCTCCCTCCACCATGCAGGGCCAGTCACGCCTCTCTGAGACACCTGCCCTGTGGCCGCACCCTCCCTCCTTCCTCTCTCCTCCCTGGTTTCCACGGCACCACTTTTTCTGGGGTTCCATCTCTGGACACTCCTTCTCATGCCCCTTCCTGGCTTCCCTCCCCTGCTCCCTCATAAATGCAGGTGTTGCCTGGGCCTTCTGCTCTGCGAACCTGCAAGCCTCTCAGCGTGATCTCACTCGTGCCAGGGCTTCAGTTACCACCTATTGCTGACCGTGCTCAAAGATATTTTCCCAGCGCATCAAGAATATGGCAGAAGAGGCAGACAGAATATTGCATGTGCTTCGAAAGCATTATCCAGCCCTCATCTGGGACAGTCCACTGCGCCTCAAAGTCAGCAAGCCCTGACCCGAACGCACCAACTCTCTCCTCCTCCTGCTCCTCCTCCCTTCTTCAGGAGTCAGAAACGTGGGAGTCACCCTCCCACCCCATGACAGCCAACTGCCAATCACCCCTTCTTTAGATTTCAGCCCCTGCACCGCCCCTCTCTCCACCCCCATTGACACTCCAGTCTAGGTCCCCTCCTCACTCCCAGAGAGACTCAAACATTCACCCATTCACTTGTTCATTCATCCACTGAGTATTAACTGAGCATCTACTATGTGCCAGAAGCTGAGGCGAATGCTTGAGATACATCAGTGAACACAACACATACAAATCCCTGCCCTGTGAAACTTACACTCTGGCACTTGCAATCATTTGAGAAGTTGTTCCTATTCCATCTTAACCCCTCTGACTGCCAACTCCACCCCGGCCACAGGGAACTTTGCAACATGTGTATCTACTCAGCATCTTCCACAGGAACTCAGGATCCTGGGGTCAAGTCTGGGCCACATGAGGGGTGCCCTGATCCCTTCCCTCCCGTCTGCTCTCATCTCACCAGGCTGGAGCTCCTTCTCCAGGGCTGCCTCTGTACGTGGTCCATCCTCCACCATAACACCTATCACACTACTATATGGTGCAGTTTGCCTGCCCACCAGCCAGCCTTTCCTCTCCACCCCGAGTGCCTGCAGGGCTGTAGCCGCTTTGATCCATTCTGCATCCCCAGTGCCTGGCCCGTTATCTGGCACACAGTAGAGGTCAACAAATAGTGGTGGCCTAAATAAGTGACTGTCACACAGGGAGAGGACTGGGGAGAAGGAGGGAGTGAGTTCTGAACTAGCCTCAGACCAGCCCCCTTCATTCAGACTGACCCTGTGGTTAAAGTCAAGGTTTAGATCCCGCTTCTGCACCTACTGGGTGTGTTCTCTGAGCTTGTTTTCTTTCCTATATAAATGGGAACAAGCCCTCACTGGTTTGGCTCAGTGGATAGAGTGTCAGCCTGTGGACTGAAGGGTCCCAGGTTCAATTCTGGTCAAGGGCACATGCCCGGGGTTGTGAGCTGGATCCCCAGTAGAGGGTGGGCAGGAGGTAGCCAATCCATGATTCTCTCTCATCATTGATGTTTCTATCTCTCTCTCTCCCTCTCCCTTCCTCTCTATTAAAAATATATATAATGGGAACAAGAACAGAACCCATCTCAGTGTTGCAAGGAGCATGCTGGCTGCTTAGCACAGTGCCTGGCATATTGGTTCTCCTAAAAAGCGAGCTGTTGTCATCCCTATTGTCATCATCATCCTCATCCCCACCGCTGGTGGCCATCCTTGCCTGCTGACCCTCCCACCTCCCTAGCACTGTGCTCTACTGTTTCCTCCCTTCTCATCGCCTTGTCCCAGTGCGGCCCCCACCACCCCCACCAGTGCCTGGAACTTCCCAGCTGAGGTCACCAGGGACCTCCTCCTTGCAGAAGGTCCCTCCCTCCATCTCTCAATAGCATGTGACTCTGGCATTGCTTCCTCCTCTTTAAAAAGATATGTTTTTATTGACTTCCGAGAGAGGAAGGGAGTGGGAGATGGACACAAACTCCTTGGCAAAATAGCCAAGTTCCCCTTAATCTGGCTCTTGCCTCACAGTCATCCTCTAGCCACCCCCCTCCTGCTCTCCTACTACACATACTTCACAGACCTCTCTGAAGGCTGCTTCTGGTCTCGTTTCCCTTCATCACAGATACAGGTGAAAGGCGACACAATGTCATAGCAGGTGAAGTCCTGCGCTAAAAGTTGTAGTGTCCCTGCCGCGGGGTGTAAGGAGTTTGACCATATGGCTCACCTATGCACTCATGAAGTAAAGCTTATGATAATACCTTTCTTCTTATTTAACTTCAATGCACACTTTGCTGTTTCCTACCTCTGTGCCTATTTATTTTTTAATTGACTGATTTGAGAGGGAGGGAGGGAGGGAGGGAGGGAGAGAGAGAAACATCGATTTGTTGTCCCACTCGTTTTTGCATTTATTGGTTGACTCTTGTATGTGCCCTGACTGGGGATCGAACTCGCAACCTTGGCATCCCGGGACGATGCTCTAACCAACTGAGCTACCTGGCCAGAGCCCTACCTCTGTACCTTTGACCGTGCTGTCTCCTCACCCCCACGCCCCAAGAATGCTCTCCTGCTCCTTATTTGCCTGCAGACCCTCCTCCACCTACTTGGTCCCAGCTCAGGCCTTCCCTGACTCCATAAACAGTTACTTCCTTCTTGCCCGTGTCAGCGTCATTCTTAGAACTATTGCCCTGAATTGAAGTTATGTCTCTATGCAGTATGTCTGTCACTCCCACCATCCCAGGTGCTTTCTATGTAGCTCCTATGGCCCGTTGATGATGACTCAATGAAGTGTTTGCTGAAAGACTAAATAAGACTACTTTCTTTTTTTACAGATGTTTTTATTGATTTTAGAGAGAGAGGAAGGGAGAGGAAGAGAGATAGAACATCAATGATGACAGAGAATCATTGATCGGCTGCCTTCTGCAGGCCCCCTTTTGGGAATTGAGCCTGCAACCCGAGCATGTGCCCTGACCAGGAATTGAATCAGTGACCTCTTGGTTCATGGGTCAACATTCAACCACGGAGCCACACCGGCCAGGCAAATAATACAACTTTTTCAATTTAAAAGATTAGACTTCAAGAGGAACTGGTGGGAAAGAGGAACGCAGCAGGCAAATTTGCTGTTCATCTGTCATCCACCAGCTGGGAAACTTCCCCAAGAGCAGAGTCATCGACCACAGAATGTGAACCCCAAGGGAATTTCAAGATCCAGTCCCCCGGCCAAATGCCAGAGAGGGCAACTGCTTTGCCTAAGGTCACACAGCTGGCTGGGCGCAGGGCTGGAACCAGATTCCAGATAACTGTGGGAAAAGTTTGGGTAGATGGCTACCTCACACCACGAACCTCTTCCCTTTCTATCCATCTTAACTCCCTAAAGGGCTCACTCACAACTCTTAAAGCACTTGCTGGGACCTTGGCTGGCTAGAGCTGCCAAAGCCCCGTAGATTGGAGGACGGGATCCAATTATCCCCATTTTACAGATTGACAAACCAAGGTAGCAAAGACTGTGTCACACTGCTAGCTAACGGCAGAGGCAGGATTTGACATTAAGCATTGTGCTCTTCTTTTTTGTAAAATATATTTTATTGATTTTTTACAGAGAGGAAGGGAGAGGGATAGAGAGCTAGAAACATCGATGAGAGAGAAACACTGATCAGCTGCCTCCTGCACACCCCCCACGGGGGATGTGCCTGCAACCAAGGTACATGCCCTTGACTGGAATCGAACCTAGGACTCCTCAGTCCGCAGGCCGACGCTCTATCCACTGAGCCAAACCGGTCAGGGCATTGTGCTCTTCTTGAGAAAAAGAAACACACACACACAAAAACCCACCCCTGCAGAGTCACTATTTACAATAATCTTGAGGACTGGCCCCCTGATGCCTGGGGAATCCCCTCACTCCCACCAGTTCCTCTTTGAGTATCCATCCCGCTCGCATAGGAAAGAACCAGTACACCCACCCTCACACCCAACTAGGCCTAGGAGAGACCTCCTCGGAGTCATAACCTTTGACGGGGAAATCACCCTCACCCTTCCCCTGCCGGGCACTTAACAGTGTCATTGCTCACTAGCTATCACCTTCCCCATTCTGAGATGGGGAAACCGAGGGTCAGAGATGAGACATCAGTGCTCTAGCCCGTTTGGCTCAGTGGATAGAGCGTCTGCCTGCGGACTGAAGGGCACAAGCCCTGGTTGCAGGCTCGACCCCCAGTAGAGGGTGGGCAGGAGGCAGCCAATCAATGATTCTCTCTCATCACTGACGTTTCTCTTTCTCTCCCCCTTCCTTTCTGAAATCAATAAAAAAATATTTTTAAAAATAAGACATGAGTAACCCATGGTCAAAGCCAGTAAGTAGCGAGGATGGGTCTCGAACCCAGGTCTCTCTGGCTCTAGCGCCGCCTCTTTCTTTCTATTAGGCCACGCCAGGCTTTCCTGCACGGCCAGGTAAACCACCTGGAGCCTCTTCCTGGCTGGGTTACTTCGGGAAAGTAACTTAACCTCTCTGGACACCCCCAAGGTCAGAAGCTGTGCTTTCGGGGAAGAAATCAGTATGCAAAAGAGACGCAAACGAAACGCCAGTCCGCGGGCGCCAGCGCAGTCCCTTCCCGGAGCTCGGGGCTTTCTAATGAGAGGGTGTGTCGCCGGCCGCGGGGACCTGCGCAGCGAGCCCCCGGCCGCTAGCAGAAGCGAAACCTCCACACCCTCCAGCCT